TTGCTCCTGACTCTTTCTTTGCGTGTTGTGTGTCCTAATATCTTTCCCAAGGACCACTTCAGTGCTTAGATACAGTTTATATCTGAAGATGAACCTTGAAACTAGCATAAATAATTTTTTAGGTCTGAAATTTAATTTCAACAAAAAGCAGATACAAAGACGGGAGGTATGTGAGCAATGTTGTCTATTCAGTAGTTTTAGTGGCTCCATTAGATTTGCTTTTAACATAGAGAAAGTTGAAAATAAAAGACAGTAGAAATATCCAACAAAGAAAATTATGTGCAGATTTCAAGAGGAACAGTGAGAACTGCTTGAGCAAAAGCAAGTGAGTAACAGCAACATTGTTCAGGAGTAAATTAACTGTGCCTAATGGTAATGCATGCTGCCTAGATAGAAATACTTTTATTTTTTAAAAGGGAAAATAAAAGAAAAAATCAATACTTGAGTGAACTTGAATCTAAGTAACTGGTAATCAGAAGTAAGAGAGATACATATAAATTAGGGTATTGGGAATTGTTTATAAGGACAGACTGAAAAGACTGCAGAACAGAGAAAAGAGTATCCAAAAATAAAAAAACCCAAGATGATGAATAAAAGAAAGTTTATGCAACATATTAGGATAAATGAAAAGACTTTTCTAGTGGATACCCGAAGTAAAATGGTAAGAGAGAAGATGGCTAAGCATGGACATGCAATTTCATAGACAGAAGAGTCTGCTCAAATCAGACCCATGGTTCCTACCAAGCAGTAGTTAGCACTCATATGGAGTTCTATCTACTGCTGGTCCTGATGAGAGAGATTTTGTGGGTTTTGCGCTCACAGTGATATCACTATCACCACTTTCCTTAGCTGAGAATGCATCCGTTTATAAATAAGTTTATATGAATCGCGCAGGAATGATTTGGACAAGGATAGCTTTTGAATTTAATTGCAGGAATAAAGCAAGAATTTAGAGAGGTTAATGGGACCTCTTCGCTCAGTAGTAGTGAGGGGCTAGACACGGCTGGGTGCTCATGAGTCACTCCTGGTGGTGCTCAGGGGAACACTGTGTGGTGTTGAGGATGAAACCAGGGCAGACCTTATTCCCTGTGTTCTCTCTCGAGTCCAAGGATATGTTATTATTTTTAAAAATATCAATCTAGGAAACAGCTGAGCAAACTATGCTATTCATCTTGTAGAGTGCTAATATTTTAAGTTCAATGCCTTTTGACACCAGGAAGCTCACACCCCTCCCTCTTCTCTGTAGAGAAAGAAAGTCACCTTTCGTGTGCACTGTGATGGCCCTGAAGAGTTCTTTTGATCCCTGATCTTTATTCCCTCCAGCATGTTACTTAGAGTTTAGTGATCATAGGCCCACTTTAAATATCATGGAGCTCGTAACAAAAACCCAGTGTTGTTTAGACTGAAGGGTCTCAGATCTGGCTATTCTCCTAGCACTCATCTCAAGCTCTTGAGCAGTTTCCTATGAGAGTAAAAACTGCCCAGAAAACTACCCAGCTTTCTACATTTGCTGGCAACTATAGCACCAGGCATATGGCCACTTTGAATGGTATCAGGAAGGCATATGGAGAGAGATTTGTTTCCTCCAACAGGCTTTAGAAGATAAAGTTGGTTTGATTATAATTGTAGCTGCCAATCATCCAACATCTTTGACTCCTGAAATTTGCCAGCACTATGCTTGGCTCTCTGCAGACTTTTAAAAAATAATCAAAAAGACATAGCCCCAGTTCCCAAGCGAGAGATAAGTTCAGTATGGAAAAATACTTAACAAAGCAATTACCTACTTTTCTGATCAACGTTGATAGTGATAGTTGTTTTTGAAAGTCTAAGAATACAGAATGTACTGAAATGGTTCACAGAGACTTTGGATGAGATCTGAATCTTGAAGCTTGCATGTATTTATTTTGGATAAGTGGTAGAGAGTTAGGAACAAAAGTATGAACAGAAGCTTTTACTGGGAATGCTCAAAGAAAGGTAGGTCATCAGGATAGATGGTAATACTGATAGCAAGATTAATTGGTAAAATGCTCTTGAGTTATGCAATATCTACATATGCTGTTGGTATCGTACTATGAACTGGCTTTAAACTGACGAGCAAATTAAACCAAATTTCTGCCCTCATATCTTTTAGTTGGAGGGCACACGATAAGTACATAGTGTGACTACAAATAAGTGATTCTGTTATGCCTGGTGCTATGAAGGAAAGAATCTGCTGCAGTGAAATAGAAACCTAAATAAGTACCTCAAGAATGAGCACACCAAGAGGAGATAATGTTTTGAACAAAACCTGATAGATGGGTCAAGGAGATGGCTCAGCAGACTAGAGCACAGGCTTTCCCTGCAGAAGCTCTGGTGAAATCCCTGCTGCCACATGGTCCCAAGCACCACTGACAGCAATCTCCAAGCCTTGAGCCAAAAGAAGCCCCAGAATATTACTAGGTACAAAACAAAGTCCACACAGAAAACTGGTGGATGATATGTGAAAATGAATCACTGAACATGCTGATGAGAAACTCATTCCAAAATCACTGTATTACTGTATCACTGTCATCTCGTTGTTCAGCAATTTGCTCGAGTGGGCACCAGTAATGTCTCCATTCATCCCAGCTCTGAGATTTTAGCAGCCTCTCCTTACTCATCCTTCCCAATGGTGCCGTATTGAAGGCTCTTTCAGAGTCAGGGGATTGAGACCCCTTATTGTTACTGTTTTGGGCATATAGAATATGCCACGGGGAGCTTGCCAGGCTCTGCCGTGTGGGCAAGATACTCTCAGTAGTAGAGGAATATGAGAATATGAGACGGTCTTAAGAAGGAAGAGTTTGTCATATTTTATTCACTTTTAAAGAAACCAAAGAGACTGGTTGCACAGGATTTGGGTGATAGCCTTTTAAAAATTGTTTCTTATCATTAGATGTATATATTTTTGATGCTTTAATAGTGAAGTATGCTTATTGGTACTGAGAGTAAATGTTCTTAATAATTACTCTTACACATTACTACATAGAATAATTAGGTAAGTAGAAGTCAGGGCAATAATACTATTTTGATCATTTAGAATATTAAAGAGACAGTGTATCAGTTTACATTTATTTTTTAATTAGATACTTCAACTATTAAGAGGAAATAATGATAGTGTGATAGTTATGTAAATTATCATCTTATAGATAAAATATTTATAAAGCAAAAAAAGATAAGCTCAAATTACTATGTGTATTTTTCTGTAATAAGAGACTACTGGTGTTGATCATATATTAATTATTAACATCTTAGTCAACTGGCCTTGATAATTTAAGATCACCCTTTTTCTATATCAGGGAAGAGAAGTATGTGTATTCATTCTCATCATTAATCATTCTCAAATGATTGTGTATATGTATGTGTGTGTGTATATGTCTATGATTTTCATGAAAGATGTCCAGGTTCAATTCCTGGTAATACATGCTCCCCTGATAACCACTGAAGTGACCCTGGGACACAGTACTGGGATTAACCCCCAACCAGTGCTTGATATGGACCAAAATATAAAAACAAGATCCATAAATAAATATATTTCATGTGTGTGTCATATGTATGTGTAAAAAGTTACAAATCAAATCTGTACTTCAATTCTAAAGGTAAAAGAAACTCATTTATTAATAATTCATAGCATTTAGCACATTTATCAGTATTCTCCAAATTATCACATATGCATGCTTAAAACTATAGAAATGTTAAGATTTTCAATGGTTGTCTATCTTTCTATTCTTCTATTTTTGATAATACTTGAAGATGGAAAAATTAGATGATAATAGTGGACCTTTTATCTACTTTTAACAAAACCCTGAATTTTTCATGAATAAAATTTCTTACTGTTCCAGGAAATTACAAAGTTTAATACAATTCCTATAGCATATCTTATCATGGTCTCTGATGGACAGCAGTTTAGTCTATTTTGAGTTCAACTTAAAATTCACTTTGTAAAATAAATTTGATTCTCTGGGAGTGTCTAGAATACAGGCACTTTGGTAGGAGATTGTAGAGTGTGAACACTCTGCCAACTTGGAACATACTCAAATTATACTGAGGCAGTTTATGATTCCCTCATTCATTATCTAAAGTTAAATTATCTCTATCCTTTTAAGAAAAAAGTAGTCATAATTTTAGTATACGTACATATGCATAGGAAAATGAAATGGAAACCTATTTCAAGGTACTCTAAATTCAATAGGATATTGTAAGAAACTTTTGCTGTTATACATGCTTATTAAGTTTGGCAGAATATACATTTGTATATTTTATTATATATACACATAAACTGTGAAATGGGGTCTATTGTGTAGAATGGAATTTGCAGTATTAATGAAAAATCTTTGGAGACAAGGCCCTTTGGGGGGTTTTTGTTTTACTTTGTGGACAATGATGTATGGTTCTAAGTCACATGGAAACAAGCGTTTATTCTCCTTGAACGTTTTCCTGGCATTTTAGAGCATGGTAAAACAAGCATTTACTCCTCAGGAACTGGGCATCTCTCCCTCTTTGTCTCTTTAATTAACATATTGATTTAAATGAAATCTATAGGATCAAACTTATTGAGACAAATGGCCTGTGCCTCCTTCATGAGATCGTTGCCATGGTCCAAACTCTTTTAGTAAATAAAATATGAAGGAAACTGCAACATGTGGAGGCTGAGGAATCCATTAAGGACTTTTGGCAATAGTAGCTTCAAGATATTTTTAAAATGTGTTTTATTGCTTCTCCTGTGCCATTTTATATAACCTGGCAGGGAGGGGGTGCTTAAAAAGACCAAACGTAGACCTCTGATTTCCATTTAATGAAAGAAGTAATAAAGTTTAATTGTATACTAGAGCATAGGGCATCATTTCCAGTACAGCTGATCAATAATTCATCGATTGCCTTTGGCCCAAAGTAATATTTGAAAGAAATTATAGGCAGTGGGAGCTTATCTAGTGGTAGCTTTGTCATTGCTATTAATTATGATTTTCCTGATTTGGGATAATTAGGCTACCAAAGTGACGGCAGATGGCGAGCAAACTGGACAGGATGCTGAGAGGAGCAACACAAGAGCAAATGCTCTAGGAGAATTCATTAAGGAGCTTATTCGGGATGCAGAAGGTAATATAAAAGTTACATTTTAATCATTTTCTTTTCTCCCAGAGGAAAAATATAAAAAGGAATTGCCCAGTACTGAGATTCCTTTAGTAGGAGATAACATTTCCAAGTTTGAGGGTTGGATTTTAAAATATATTTTGGTCAAGATAGTCAAGGATATATCTACTGAGAATCCACAATCTACAGGGTTAATTTAATGACAACGGATAGTGAATTAGTAATAAATGAGTTCACAATGTCAATAAATTGAATTATTCCTTTAGGAGTGCTCTAAATTTTGAGAATGGCCTAGTTATGATTAAATAACTGATCGGCAACATGCTTTACTTTGCATTCAAACAAATGTAAATTTTTTAAAGTCGATTTGTCTTTCTGCTCAGCAATTACAATTTTACTTTAATTTCTCAAAATGGATTTAATAATAATTGTTACCAGTTTTTAAGAAATATTGGTTGCTTGGAATTTAGGCTCGATACCTTACCAGAAACTACACTTCATTGAATATACAATTCTTTGGGAGTTAGTTCTTGACACCTTTACATACAATTGAGAATCAATGTGGAGGCAATTGTTTTGTGCCAAAAATAAATAAGTAAATAAAATATTAAAGAAATGAAAATTCACATTAACTCTTAAATTACATTATTATAATAAACATCCAGGTACAGTTAGAAATAAAAAAATACTTCATTTTGCTTTAGAAAGTAAAGAAATTTTTATTGCTTTAAAATGTTATATATTTTAGATATTTTACTTTATAATACCAGCAAGTAAAACAGAACAAGAAATAAACTTTAAGGTGGATCCTGAGATATGATTATTAAGAATCACCAGTCAAAATTTACAAACTCTCAAACATTCTCCCATTCTCCCACAAAAAAGCAACAAAGTTTGCGTCTGAGGATCCATCTGAGGCAAAATATGTCAGAATCTTAAACAGAAGTTATAGTATCAGAATAATTTCAGTTGACTCAATCTACTGCTTGATGAAATTTTTCTGATTTCTCATTTTATTTTCCATTAATGCTAATTGAAACTGTCCACCCCTACCCACCAAATTCCCACTACAGGTAGAACATTTTCCCCCTCTATCTGGATCCCTGAAAGAACTAGTCCAGGAAATTTTATTTTCTCCTTAATCTCACTTAAGAACTAGGTGTTTTTAATCAGATAGTTACAAAAGAATAAATGCTGAGGGTAGGGGTTGTTACTCAACAGCTAAAGTTCACATCTTCCATTCATGAGACCTAGCACTACAAATATATATATATATACATATATATATCTGTATATGTATACATACACACATATATGTACATAAATATAACATTTGTATGAATATACAATATACTATACTTATTTTCACTGGACTCAGCTTCAAGCCTGCTTGCTTTCTTCTCTACATTGCACCCTCATTTTCTGTTTTGTACAACACAAAAAGGAAAATGTCTCTTGCCAAGGTCAGAATAGAAATGATATTTAGCCCAGTTTTTTCTCACCACCCACAGTCTTTTGTTTGGTTTTGAGGTCACAGCCATCAATACTAAGTTCTTAATCCTGGCTCTGCAGTCAGGGATCACTCCTGGAAGGGCTTGTGGGAACCATATGGGTTGCCAGGAATTTAACCTGGGCTGGCATGTGCAAAGCAGATGTCCTACCCAATGTCTATTACTCCAGCCCTACAACCTACAGTCTTTCAGAGAAAAGGGGTATGTCACTAGAGGTCTCTTCCATTTCCTAAATTGTGCCTCAGTCTTAGCTGTGGCTATTCAAATGGGACAGTCTTCTATTTCACAAGGAGTATTTATGTCATATCTGTGATACTAAAATAATTATAAATGTTATCTTTTTCTGGTCAATTCAAGCATAAGTGATGACCAGAGCCATTAAAAAATAAAAGCATAAAATTATATATAATTTAAAGGTGATTACATAAGCAGTCAAATAAATCTTGTCTAAGATTTATATATATATATATACTAAAATCTTATCGGGTTAAAGAATTAAAGACAAAGGAGAGAAAGCTCATCAAAACTTTAAATTGATAATACCATAAATTCATATACTTCTTTTTTCTCTCCAAATTATAATTAGGAATAATATTAGTATTCTTAGGTTTTATTACTGATAATATAATTCCATATTAAAGTAAATGCTTCAGTCTGAATTTGCCTATTTCAGTTAATTTTTAGAAATATGCAGCACATTATTCATCCTCTTTCCCTTGTCAATCAAGTCATATTCTAACATAATAAAAGATAACCAACTTCTATTAATCATGAAAATTCTTATCTCACTATAATTTTTAAAGTTTACTGTTCTATGGTTCTTTATTGGATTAAGAGTAAGCTACTTTCATGCACTATTAGAATTAATGATGACCATTAATAAATAAACCTATTAGTGTTTGTCATGACATGTAATAGGACTAAGTGCTAATATTTTTCTTTCCTGTTTTTAAGTCGTAGTAGTATTTTCTATTCTTAATAAACATACTCAACAGAAATAATATTTTTAGTATAGAAATCAATATTAGTTTGCTTAAGGAATGACCTTATTTGTAATTTAAGGATTCTTCTTTCATGTTCCCACTTTGATCTTCTTATACCTTGACTACTAAAATGCTTATAATATGTTTTTGGATCCACTGCACTGAACTTCTGATAGGTCTTTTTGTATAATAATGCTTTTCCTAATTTGCATTCACTTTAGCACAGCGGGTAGGGCGTTCGCCTTACACGCGGCCAACATGGCCGACCCGAGTTCGATTCCTCTGCCCCTCTCGGAGAGCCCGGCAAGCTACCGAGAGTATTTGATATGCCAGACACAGTAACAACAAATCTCCAATGGAGACGTTACTGGGCCCGATCGAGCAAATCGACAATCAACTGGAGGGCCTTTACCTTTACCTTTACCTTTTATCTTTACTTCTATAGTATCTTAATTTAAAGAAAGCTTAAAGGCATTTTAAAGTCCTCTGAAATTATATAGAAAATAATTAATTTATATATTTAGATGCAATAATTTTTTATGTTATGAAAAACAAGGGGCTGGAAGGATAGCCCAGCGTGTAGGGCATTTGCCTTGTACACAGCCAACATGGCCGACCTGAGTTCGATTCCTCCGCCCCTCTCAGAGAGCCGGCAAGCTACCGAGAGTATCTTGCAAGCTACTGAGAGTATCTCGCCCGCACAGCAGAGCCTGGCAAGCTACCCGTGATGTATTCAATATGCCAAACACAGTAACAACAAAGTCTCCAATGGAGACGTTACTGGGCCCGCTTGAGCAAATCGATGAACAACTGGAGGACATTGACAGGATAGTGATGAAAAACAAAAAGAAATGATATGCTATATCTTTGTATAGGAGGCTGAAGGATACATCATGTTTAGTTTTTAAAACTTGGAGATTTTTTAAAATGCAATATGTAATTATGAACATATTTATGCCACTAAATTAGAGGACCTGGAAGAAGCAAACAAATATTTAGAGTAATGTGACCTCCTAAAACTCATTCAGGTAAAAGTAGGAAACTTGAACATTCCAATTACAAACTTGGAAACTGAAAAATAATTTCTCCAAATACAAACAACTATGTATCCAGATGATTTTAGTATCAGTTTTTCCAAATATTTAAAAATGGTCATGCTAAGTGAAATGAATCAGGAAGAGAGAGGGACAGACATAGAAAGTCTGCATTCATCTGGGGAACATAGCACTGCACTGTCCTCCCATTGTTCATCGATTTTCTCGAGCGGGCCCAGTAACGTCTCCAACATGAGATTTGTTGTGTTACTGTGTTTGGCATACCGAACATGTCACGGGGAGCTTGCCATGCTTTGCCGTGTGGGCAAGATACTCTCGGTAGCTTGCCGGACTCTCCGAGAGAGGCGGAGGAATTGAACCCAGGTCGCCTGGGTTGGCTGCATACAAGGCAAATGCCCTACCACTGTGCTATCGCTCCAGTCCTGGGAACATAAAGTAACAAAATAGGAGACTAACACCCAGGAATAGCCGAGATAAGTACCAGGAGGTTCAATGGCTTGGAGGCCAGCCACACATGCTAGGGGAAAAGGCAGCTCAGATATAGAAAAGAGCACAAGTAAAGGGTGTTGGGAGGTGCATGCTGAAAGTAGACTATAGATTGAACATGATTGCCACTTAATGCCTCTTTTGCAAACCACAGCACTCAAAAGGAGAGAGAGAACAAAAGGGAATGCCTTGCCACAGAGGCAGGGTGGGATGGGGGTGAGGGGGGTGGGAGGGATACTGGGATCAGTGGTAGTGGAAAATGGGCACTGGTGGAGGGATGGGTACTTGAACATTGTATAATTGAAACCCAAGCACAAAAATTTGTAAGTCTACAACTGTACCTCATGGTGTTTCACTAATAAAAATTTTTAAAAAAGAAAAATGACCTATTTCCTATCCTCCTTAAGTTCTTCTTCGAAATCAAAGTACCAGGAGTCCTTCCAGTTTATATTATATATTACCCTATAACCAAATGCATACAGACATATCACAAAAATGAGAACTACAACATCCCTTATGAAAATAGATGCAGAAATAATCAACAAAATCTTAGCAAACAGAATTCAACAACAAAAACCTGAAATATCATGATATAAAAGGATTCCAAGAGTGTAAGGATGAACTAATATATGAAAATAAATTAATATTAGAATAAAAGAAAAGATAAAATAATATGTTCACATAAATAATTACAGAAAATGGTTTGGACAAAATTCAACATCTGTTTTCAATTTTTAAAAAGCTACTCAACATAGTGATAAGAGTATATCTTAATATAATAGAGATTGTTTACAGAACAAAACACAGCTAACATCATACTCTGATCAAAAACTGAAAATATTTCTTCTAAGTTCAGGTACAAGGAAAAAGTGTTTTATCTCATCACTGTTATTCAACGTAACATTAATACTAAATTTTAGCTACAGCAATTTAGTCAAGAATAATTAATAAGAAATATACGGACTGGAAAGAAAAGGTAAGATTATCAATATTTACCCATGACAGTAATATAAACAGAAAACCCTAACGACTACAGTTGGATAATTATTATAAACAAGAAGCCAATACAGTTCAATAGGAAAGTAAAAAGAAAAACACAAATAATATATTGTATTTATATATGCAGATAATAAATAGAAGAAAAACAATGGAAAATCATGCCTTTTATTATTGCTCAAAAAAAGGAACAAATATCAAGTAGCAAAAAAGGAGCAAATATTATCTTAGAGAAAGAGAAGGGCATACATAACAAATTTATATGAGGAGCAATAGATGCCAAAAGAAAAGAAATATTCCATGTTCATGGATTTGAAGAATTAACATTGCTACTGAGTTGATGGTGATGCTGAAATTTCTGTTAGTTAAGCTACATTCAAGTGTGAGCCACTAGTGGTACATGTGGACATCAATATGTTAAAATGACCATCCAAGCCAAGTATAAAGGTAAAGGTAAAGGCCCTCCCGTTGATCGTCGATTTGCTCGAGCGGGCCCAGTAACGTCTCCATTGGAGACTTTGTTGTTACTGTGTCTGGCATATCGAATACTCTCGGTAGCTTGCCGGGCTCTCCGAGAGGGGCGGAGGAATCGAACTCGGGTCGGCCATGTTGGCCGCTTGTAAGGCGAACACTCTACCCGCTGTGCTATCGCTCCAGCCCATATAATTTATGTTTAATAAAATCTCTATCAAATATTCAATGAAATTCTTAGAACATAAAACAAATATTACTGAAATTCATGTGAAACTACTAAACTATCCAATTGGACAGCCCAAGCAATAATGAGTAAAAAGAAGAGAGTAAATACAATGTTTCCTAACTTTAAACTTTATTACAATACTATAGTTATCAAAATAGTGTGGTAGTAGAATAAAGGCAGACACACTCTCATAGAATTCAATTTTGTATCCCAGAATTAGACCCTACAATATAGAGAAAGCTAATTTATGCCTAAAGAATCTAGGGTATACAAAAAAAGTAAAGAAAGGTATTTTAAGCAAATTTACTTGGGAAAACTGGATAGCCACATACAAAAGAATGAAATTGAATCACTCTCTTGCACCATGCCAAAGTTAATTCAAAATAGAAAAACACTGAGATGTTGGCCCACATGTTCAAAATTCATTGAAGAAAATAAAAGCAAAACACTATTATAATTATTTACATGATGTATTCATATTTTTGACTGATGTAGCAAGGAACGAAAATAACAAATGATATTATGTTAAGCTATAAAGATTCTGTCCTTCAAATAAACTAAAACAAAATTACATCATATTGAGTGCAATTGTATATATATATATACTATATTCAACAAATAGCTGATAAACAAGATATAGAAAGAACTCATGTAACTGAACCACAACATTAAGTAAACCTCATAAAAAAAATAGGGTGAAGAATTAAACAGACATTTCTCCAAGAAGACATGTAAGTGGCCAACAGATTTATATAAAAAATGGTCATTCTAATTGATTATAAGGAAAATGAAAAATTAATGAGAATACTTAAGAACAGCTTATATCAAAAATACCACAGACAATAAGCATTGGCAAGGATATATAAAACAAGTACCCCTAATCCTCTGTTTGTGAAAATATAATATGAGCATTTCTTTTTCTTTTTTTTTTCAATTTTTATTAGTGAAACACCATGAGGTACAGTTGTAGACTTACAAATTTTTGTGCTTAGGTTTCGATTATACAATGATCAAATACCCATCCCTCCACCGGTGCCCATTTCCCACCACCATGGATCCCAGTGTCCCTCCCACCCCTATCCCCTCCATCCCACCCTGCCTCTGTGGCAGGGCATTCCCTTGTGTTCTTTCTCTCCTTTTGGGTGTTGTGGTTTGCAAAAGAGGCATTGAGTGACAACCATGTTCGATCTATAGTTTGCTTTCAGCATGCTTCTCCCATCCTGGGAGGATCCTCCCAACACCCTTTATTTGGTGGTTCCTTCTCTAGCTGAGCTCCTTTTCCCCTAGCATGTGTGGCTGGCCTCCAATCCATGGAGCAAACCTCCTGTTCTAATCTTGGTCACTCTGGGGTATTAGTCTCCTATTTTGTTACTTTATGTTCCCCAGATGAATGCAATCTTTCTATGTCTATCCCTCTCTTTCTGACTCATTTTGCTTAACATGATACTTTCCATGTAGTACCATTTGTATGTAAATTTCACAACTTCATCTTTTCTAACAGCTACATAGTACTCCATTGTGTAGATGTACCAAAGTTTCTTTAACCAGTCATCCGTTCTCGGGCACTCAGGTTTTTTCCAGATTCTGGCTGTTGTAAACAGTGCTGCAATAAACAAACAAGTGCAGATGTCACTTCGACCATACTTTTTTGCCAATATGAGCATTTCTTTAAAAAAGAAAAATTAAATGTAGAACAACCATATGACCCAGCATTTATACTCTTTGGGATCTATTCCCAAAGCACACAAATATTAATTTGAAAAAAATTGTACATTCACACAAACACGCATGTAACCCTATATTCATTGCAGCACTACTCACAATATCCAAGATCTTGAAACTACCCTAGTGCCCATAGAAATATGAGTCGATAAATATGTGGTATAAATACAAAGTAGAATGTTGCTCAGGTATATGTAAGAAAAAATAAACCCTTGCCTTTTTCAAACATATAATGAATTGGGCCTGAGAAGCTTAGCAAAATAAGTGAAAGGTGAAAAGGAGAAAAGGAAATAGCATGCAATCTCACTCATACATAGTATTATTTATGGTAAATAAACAACAAAGGCTGTGGGGGTCAGGGTGGAGATAGTTCAAAAGTCTTGAATACTTGAGTTGAATGTGGAAACACTATTCTGGCAGCACCTTCTTGCCCACCAACAGCTTTGGATATAGGGTTTAGGGGTCCCTCAGCTATCTTAATTATATGCATCCATAATTCTCAAACTCTAGTTTGCATCAGAAGCTCATGGGGTGTGGGCTGAAGGTAATTATAAAAGTAGAGACTCTCCCCTCCAGGATTTATCACTTCATTAATTTGTTATAGTTCATGAAAAAAAGGCCCCAGGTTATGCTGTTGCTGGTTTGGTTTGGTCTGGCTTTTGAGACCACATTTCAGAACTACAGTATTAACTTACCACCTTCAACCATCTTGGCGGATCACATGACTCTATCTGCATTCAACCTGCCTCAGGAGCTCTGTCTATAAATATTGGAAGAGCTCTGAGAAGTATGAATCAGAAAATTTTCTCCGAGAACAGAAAAGAATTTTCAGAATTTTTTTTATGTCTAGCAAAGGTCCAAAAATTTCATCTTAAATGTAGATGATGTCTTTTGACCAACGCAAGCTCTTATTCTGGAGTTTTGTATGAGTAGTATTATAGCAATTAGGGTTGAGCAGACAAAAGTATTCCAGAAAATATCTCCCTTCAGTGCTCTTAGATTAATATTCCACAGAACACACTTCAGGGAGCTGGCAAAATAAATAAATAAATAAATGATAGAACTGTGCAAATGTTTCAATTAACCAGCTTTTCAAAGTTTTGTTTGACATAGAATTCTTATTTTTTTCAAACAAAATCTTGCCAACCTATAAAACATTGTTGACAGCACAGTTATAATTTGTAGAATACTTGAATCACCTGGACAGCCCTAAGTTTCTGAGGAGCTTAACTAAAACCCCATTTAATGCATAATAATCACACGCTGTTGATAGATGCTACTGCTGGAAGGTATCTTTGAGCCCTAATCTATAATTCTTGTCCTTAGTCCAATGCCCTTGTCCTCACTCATTTGAGCGGAGGATGATGGGGGGATGAGCATGGCTGCATGGAAGTGCAAGGCAAGTTTATTTACAGAAATGCCATCACTCATAATATTTCTATTTTCAGTCTTTTCAATTGACTGAATGTTACTGTCTTATCAGCAGTACAGACCCAGTGTTTGTAGCATCCAAGTGTTACATTACATGTCTCATTTGTTTCTTATCTAGGGAGTATTTGAGCCACATTCTTACTAATATTTTTTTTTCCTTTGGGGAAATAAATCCCATACTTTAATTATTGTGCTCCCCCAACTAAAGGAAAAAATACTATGGGAAAAAATATGCCACGTTCTCCTGTTTGCTAAGAATTGTTATTTTAACTGCTTCTTTATTTCCCAGTGGAAACACACATGGCAAAGTACATTTTATTTGGAAATGGGAGGGAAGAACAGATGCTGAATCCCCGGTTTGCATGTGGCATTTTATTTACTAATTCGCAAAATTTGTTTTACCCCCTGCAGCTGTAAATGAGAAAGCTGTAAAACTAAATGAAACTCTAGGAACTCAAGACAAGGCCTTTGAGAGAAATATTCAAGAGTTTCAAAAACAGATTGATCAGATGATGTCAGAACTGAGGAGGAAAAATCTAGATTCACAGAAGGAAGTTGCTGAGGACGAGTTGGTGTGAGTAGATGGTCTATTTTTTTCATTTAATTAACTGAGCTTTAAAATTTTTTATAGTTTTTTAAATTTTCCATCAGAATTTTGAGAAGTATTTTTTTATTTTCTCATAGGTGTATACTTTAGTTTGCTCAAAAAAATGGACCCAAAGCATGTTTTTCCCTACCTGTAAATAAATAATGATTATTTTGATGTTGTTTGATCTACAAATTTGGCTTGTGGATTTCTTTAATTATGAGATTTGATTAATTAAGAGATTTGATTAATTAAGAGATTTAATTAATTAAGAGATTTTTAAGCTGTTAGTAGCACTGTCCTCCGGTTGTTCATCAATTTGCTCCATCAGGCACCAGTAACATCTCCATTGTGAGACTTGTTGTTACTGTTTTTGGCATATTGAATACGCCGTGGGGAGCTTTCCAGGCTCTGCTGTGCGGGCAGGATACTCTTGGTACTTGTCAGGCTCTCCAAGAGGGATGGAGGAATTGAACCCTGGTCAGCCATGTTCAAAGCAAATGCCCTAGCCGCTGTGCTATTGATCCAGCTCAACCTGTTAGTAATTGTTCTAAAAAGTTATTTTTGGCTTTTCATTTTAATAGTTTTATCTTTTTATGAACTGCCATTTAAAATGTCATATAAATATGATATACATAAGTACAAGAATATATACACACATATGTATACACATACACATATAGTTATATATGCATATATATATATTATACACACAGAGAGATGCATATTCTTGGCACAATATCCTGCAGTACCCAGGACTTACTCCTGGCTCTATACTCAGGGATCAACCCTGCACTCCTGGCAGTGCTCCATATGGGATGCCAGAGGTGTAACTGAGGTTAGCTTTGTGCATGGCAAGTATCATACTCACTCTACAACTCTGGCCCTTGATAACGTTTTAAATTCAGTAGCATCCTATACATTTGTCATTTTATAAAAATACTATGAGTCTTCAGCCATAAATACCAAATACTTCGAAATTTGTTTAGAGGATATAAGGTCATAAATAGTAAATTTAGGATTATAGTGATAGTACTGGGGTAAGGGTTCATTCATTGCATGAGGCCGATCACTGTTAGATCCCCAGCGTCACTGTCCCCAAATATCAAGGTGTAGCCCTGAAGACTTGGAGAACTGACTGGATGACCTGGGTCACTGAATCTCTGGCCTCATCAATGAAAAATATATGATAATTTCCAGGTAGCCTCTCCCTGCCAAAGAGAAATGGTGATTTTACTAACTCTTGAGACAAAGTACTCCAAAATGGAAGTATATTTTTCCATCAGAGGTTAGATAATTTCAAAGTCATTAGTATTTAGCTGATATACATAAAGTTAGCAAAAACCAATATATAAGAAACAGAAATTCATTTTATCAAACCTCATTCCAGATTTACTGAATCTGAAGCTTTAGGGTAAAAGCAGTCGACTTTGACAAATGCTTCAAAGCTGGCTTGTATTACATGTTAATCTAAGAATTGCTACTTTTCAAGTAGTTTGGCCTTTCTTAGAATTTAGAATTACCACGTTAGTCAAACTAAGTAAACTCCCATATTTCTTACTTAGTGGTAAAGCAATATAAAAATCATATTAGCATGGCAATAATACAGAATTTAATTCACAATTTCTAATAAAACAGATAAAGACTTTAACTGAATCAAAGTAACAGAAAAAAATCTCATTGTGTGAATTTAAAAAGTTTTTGAGCAGAATGTGAAGTGTATTACAAAATCGATTTATTTCACCAGATTTTGAGATGATCATTTCCAAATGAATATGTTAATTTATTAATAAATTTAAAATGTTTTTTAAATTTAATTCTAATTAGAAACTGTCTTGCCACCTTTCAGTTCCAGTTTCAACTTAATTTAGCATAAGTTGAATTGTGACTTTCAATTGTTCTTATTGTACATTCTTTTAATGCATCTCTTTTCAACCCACTTTAATACCAATCAATTTGAGACAGTCCAGGAATTTACTATTTTTTGTCTGGTGATCCATGCAGAGCTGCTGAAGGCCTTCTGAAGAAAGTGAAGAAGCTGTTTGGAGAGTCTCGAGGCAGAAATGAAGAAATGGAGAAGAACCTCAGGGAGAAACTAACTGACTACCAAAACAAAGTTGATGATGCTCAGGACTTGTTGAGAGAAGCCACAGACAAAATTAGAGAAGCTAATAGCTTATCGGCAGCAAACAAACAAAATATGACTGTTCTCGAGGTAAGGCAAGGCTCTTTCATTTGAGGGTGGGGACTGTGAGCAATTACAATTACTTCAAGAAACCAGATGAGACATGATGTCTCTTAATAACCCATTGTCCACAGAATAGAAATGTAGAGAATTCGAACTATTGAACCTTTGTAAGGAAACTGTGTACAGTAGAAAGAACTTTTTATTGGGAGTCAGAGGATAGTGCAAGCTTGGTAAGTCAATTAGAGACTTAATACATTAGTTATCCAACAATTCAAAGAGTGTATTATAGTGTAGGATACCTTCAAACATTAAGGTGTTTAAAGTGTCTAACCCTTATCTAAAGCATGGATTAGCTCAATGGATGCCATAAATCAAAGTACCGATGCAAATTGGACACAGAAGGAAGACTCATTGAGAGAGCAGAGTATGGGAAATTTTGGTTCTTTACTTTGTAATGTGCTTTATGCTAATGATATTTAAATGGAACTGAAATAAATAAAATCAGAATTATTTTTTCTTCTATTCTTCATAGATGAAAAGTACTTCTTTCCTCAAGAAAAGAGGGTAGCTTCTGCCTTTTTCAGTTATGATACTAGAACACTAGAACTAGATGCCCTTCTTCCTTTCTTCCTCATGTTCCATCCTTCCTTCCTCCCTCCCTTCCTTCCTTCTAACTGATCACATTCTCCAAGACTAAATTCAGTATCTACAATGTTGCACACCTATATTCAGTATTTAAGCAACAACTTTCTCCCAAAGACAATCAACCTTTTTCATTTTCAGAGTATTTGATCTCACAGATCAGAAAGCAGCAGCTGAGCTCTATCCCTTCTACCATATAATTTTCCTTTCAGCTGTAACTAAGATTCTCTTGCATAAATTACATTCTCAAAAATGTTTGTGGAATGATAATTGAATAAGATATATCTGGCATTTTCCCCACTCGTTTCTTTCTAGTTCCCTTTAGATTAAGAAGTAAAAACTACTAATTAATTTTTAAAGGTATTTTTCCTGCATCCTCCTCCTGGGTTCAGTCTTCTTGCTCTAATAGAAGATTGAGAAAGCTCAGGTTTTCTTAACTGATTTGGCTAATCTTAAGCAATATACAATTGACTGATATCTAAAGAAAAGCAGTCTCTGGAGGCAGGGTGCTGGAGTGCTCACATCACATTCCTATAGAATTAATTTTGCTCAGTGACATTCCAGTATTATAACTATCCCAAAAGTGTACTGTTTCCTTTTATGGCAGCAGGCTAAGAAATTAAATTTCCTGGATATAAAGGATAGGGACTGGGCCTCCTCCACCCAGATCCCCCATCTTCTAGCATGTAGGCCTTACACCCACCAACCGGATCCCGGCACCATGTAATCCCATCAATGGTGAAGACCCAGAGACTATAAAACCCAGCTCCCGGAAGTGGGTTTATTATCTAGTTCTTACTCTGGAGAACCTGGCAGGCTACCAAAAGTATCCTGCCCGCACGGCAAAGTCTGGCAAATTCCCCATGGCATATTCAATATGCCCAAAACCAGTAACAATGATGAGTCTCATTCTCCTGACCTGAAAAAGCCTCGAATGTGGCACTTTCTAAAATCTCAGGGCTAGGATGAAGGAGACATTACTGCTGCCTGCTCGAGGAAATTGATGAACAACAGGATGACAGTGATACAGTGATACAGTGAAAGCATAATAAGCATTTGGGAAGTATTTTGGGAGAGTTATAGTGACACTGTAAGTGATGATTTTAGCTCTTTCTTCATTTTAGGTTGTTTAAAACCAGGAGAGATCATTCTTGGCCCCATAAGTCTAGGAATTTATATATTGGCATTCAAGTTCTAAGTGGTTCTTTTTGTATTTTCATTTATTTTGTCCTGCTTAACTAAAGGCTTGTAACAATAGATAAACCCATGAAATTAATACCTGTAAGTCACAGTTTAGTTAAGGTTGTTTGACAAGACTGATTAAGGTTGATTAACTAGGTTGTACAAGACTGGTTAAAACAGAATCACCTAGAGAATTTGGTATATAGATGGGTTCCCTGGTCTCTCACGTAGGGTCTGAGTTGGTTGATCTGGGATGACTCCCAAGTTTGAAAAATTCTAAGAATATTCCTGAGTTAATCTGGTTTATGAGCAACTGATACACTGGATCCCTGTGTGAATATTGTTGAGTATTGTGTCTGAGCCCACAGAGGTGAGATAATTAAGACAGGACTAAAATGTTTTGTTTGTTTTAAGGAGTAAACATGTATTTTTATTAATATAAACATTTGTCAATATCCTAAGTTCCATGGAGTATTGAAATCCTCAAATGAATATATCAAACAGTGATCTTTACATTATGGCCTTGAAGCAGTGTATCAACTCTCTTTTAGAAAAATGTTCCACATCCTATCTATTAACTCAGAAACTTGAAGTGGGGCCCAGCAACACATTATTTAAATAGTCCTCTTATGAATCGGTACAGCACACAAAGATCACTATATGTGAAATAGTTATATATATGAAATAGTTATATATATATATATATAGTAAAGGAAGGGCATCAAATTATTAAGAATTTATTAAAGGTTTTGTAAAAACACCTGACACTGTGCTAAGTACTAAAGGAAAAGCCAGGTTAGTGAAAGTGCAGAATAACATTAATATATATATAACATTAATATATATATATATGGATAAACATATCAAGACCTGGGGAAGCAGGAAGTAGTATTCGGGGGTGAGGGGAGCAGACAATTTAATGGTTTAGAAATACTGCAGTAAAGACTGAATATGACCAAGTTGGGTGAGAAAAGATAAATTGGGGGGGTGGGGAAACCAGGTAAAATAGACAGATTCTTGTCTTTAGATTGCATTAAAAATGCATTTTGAGTGAAGGTATTTTCCTGAAAACTTTTGGGAATAATTAAAATATTAAAGTTGTGCACTAAAATTGCACTTAGGGAATTTTGTATGAATGGTATTAAAACTACATTTGGTGAAATTCATGTAAGTGTTTTTGTAAAGCAGTTGATATTATATTGGAAAGTAGTGTGATATGAAGCTATAAAAGTGGGTTTGGAAAAACATCTAATAATTTGTGAGCTACTTGGTATATCAAGGTACTGTTTATCACTGTGATTTTTGAAGCTGAATATAAATCTTTCCTAATTTCATTGAGCTTACAGACACCTGAAAAGTCAAGGCAGTCTTAGCCTTAAACTGTAATGTAATTCTGTGATTGAATAATATGAATTTGAGACACTTGATAATAAAATTTATTCACAACAATTGATGATGGCATCTAGAAGAACCGAGAGAGATTGATAGAAAGGAAGAAACAGCATACTCACAAGTACCGATTTCTGAAAGTGTAAGGTGATGTTAGGAAATGTCAAGTGTAGCAATAAAGTTAATTCAAAAGCTACATAAAAGTCTATTGCAGAAGATGGGTCTGGAAATGGCATTTGGAGCCATATCACAGAAGGCTTTGAATGTAGCCTACTAGAAAGGACACAAGGTTACTAGGGTTACTGAGCCATTAACAGCGGTAGAGAGAAGGCAGAGGGAGGATGGTGATATCAAAGTAAAGAGGTGGCTTTCCTCTGGTAAATGGGCAGAACTGAGATCCTAGCCAAGCTATTGCTTGAATCTAAACTATAATCACTGTGCTCTAGTACCTAAAATATACTTAGGATTAGGATGAGTGATATTTTATACAAGTGGTCTAAAAACTGACCATGAACTAAGAATGGAGAAAGGAAGATCAAGATTTAGGCAAACATGATGGAAGGAACTGCATGAATAAAGTCTCAAAGGCAGGTGCAAGATGTATATACCTGACATATAAATGTGGTTGGTAAACTTGGGAAAGAATGGTATGAAATGAGTTAATAATGGTGCAAATAAAAAATGTGTTTTATGTCAAAGGTGAACCAGGCCAGTACATTCAGATTTTATGATTTAGGCTCCAGCATTAGGTGGACTAGAGTTCAGATCTTAACCACACCAGACTATGTGAATTTAAGTAAAGTACCCAAGTTACTCAATTTCCAGTTTATTTAAGAGATGATGAAGACAGGATCCAAAGAGTTAGTATAGAATTAAATAAGAAAAGTTTTAAAATTACTTATACGTGTTGAGATCTAAATGAACATATAAGCTAGTATTATCTAAAAACATAAATGACAGTTTAAAAATTACAGTTGATATAAATAAAAACTAATTTTATTTATAAATGAAATCTATAAAAATGGGAGTTTATAAAAGAGTCAGAGGGATAAATAAAAATAGCAAAAAGTGCTTCAAATGTAGAAATAACTTTTATTTTACTATTCTAGTCTAGAAACAAGTTCCATGGGATTTTTAAACCAAGTTAGCAGTCTCAAAAGTCTGTATTGCTCTCAGAAAAAGTTGATTGATTTTGTCTTCCCATAGGATAGTTTCTCTCTCTCTCTCTCTCTCTCTCTCTCTCTCTCTCTCTCTCTCTCTCTCTCTCTCTCTCTTTCTCATACACATCACACACACATTAGTTTTCTAAGTTTCTTATAGTTTCCTAAGTTTCTTTCAATTTTTTTCAGAACTTCCATTAAAGAATAAATCTGCTTATTTTTTGGTCGCAAAATATTTATTTTGACAAAGATTCCAAAATTCAGTATCCACTTTTTATGTAATTCACTCTAGTACCACGTGTTCAATTATATATGCAGCACATGCACTATGGTTAAAAATGGATTCCATTTGCTTTAAAACTAGTTTTTAGGGGCTAAAGTAAAGCAGGTAGAGTATTCGCTTTGTATGTGACTGACCTTGGTTAAATTCCCAGCATCCCAGAGAGTCCACTAAGGAACCCCAGGAGTAACTCCCAAGCACAGAGTCAGGAGTAACCTCTGAGCATTGCCAAGTGTGGCTCAAACACCAAACAGAAAGCAAAAAAAAAAAAAAAACCCATAAAACGAAAAGCGCCCACAAAAAAACAACTATAGAAATCAGAAAAGAACCAGTTAATGTGTTTATGGAATAAAGAGATGAGGGCAGCCAAAGCCCACCAAAATAAATAAATAAATTTTACAAATGTAGTTTTTTGGGAGAAGCATGCTGAAAGTAGGCTATAGACCAAACATGATTGCCACTCATTGCCTCTTTTGCAAACCACAACACCCAAAAGGAGAGAGAGAACAAAAGGGAATGCCCTGTCACAGAGGCAGGGTGGGATGGAGGGGTGGGGGTGGGAAGGATATTGGTACCCATAGTGGTGGAAAATGGGCACTGGTGGAGGGATGGGTATTTGATCATTGTATAATTGAAACCCAAGCACAAAAATTTGTAAGTCTACAACTGTACCTCATGGTGTTTCACTAATAAAAATTTTTTAAATATGTATTTGAAACGTGCCTGTGAAAATGGCAGGCTGGGGCTGGGTTTGAGTGAAGGAGAGGAAATCTGGGAACAGAGGTGGAGGGAAGTTGACGCTTAGTGGTGAGATTGGTAATGGAAGATTGCAGAAATCCAACAATGAATAACTATGTAATTCACAGAGCTTTAATAAAATAAAATTTAGGCAAAAAAAATTTTTTTAAAAATGTAGTTTTCAATTCCTAACCTACAATCTTATAACGTTTCTTCTTCTGGATGACTTTCTTGTAATTGGAGGGAAAAAATACCTGTAGCGACAATTAAATAATTCTTATATGCTTGGCTGAGTTTAAGTACATTCTGACGTTTTATTCATATTCCTATTACAGACAAAGAAGGAGGCTATATTAAGTGGAAAACAAGAAATTGAGAACACTTTAAAAGACGGTAACAACCTGCTTGATGAAGCCAACCGTCTTGCAAATGAAATCAACTCAGTTATAGACGTGAGTGTTTGATAAAATCCAACATTAAAGGAAGTATGATAATGATATATACTTATGTTATTATCAGTGAGAATAAGTGATAAGTGGAAACTAGTAAGAGATTTCTATCTTATAAGCAAACATTTCTTTTTCCGTGTAGGTATAAAGTATTTTTTATTATGCTATTGTGAGCATACCTACCTATTTAGGAACTAGAATTTAACATTGTTCTCACAAAGATATGAAAGTCTGTTAATATATGTTAAGACTAATATACATTCACACAAACTGTTTTATTTCATCTTGGTGAAAGTTTTTTTTTGTTCTTAAGAGATAGTATAATCTGTTTCAATATTCATATAATTTCAGTTAAAAAGAAATATAGAACTACATAGATTTAATATGCTATTTAATATACTAGATATTATGATATATGGTTATAAAAATGCAAATGATCTAAAAATTCTAATGACTGTCATTAGGCATTTATACCTACAATATAGCAGTTGTTCAAAGATTGTTAGGTTCTTGGTATAAATGGACTCACTATTCCCTAATCTCTTTAATTTAATAACAGCTTTTATTCTCTAGTCTCTTTTTGCTCTGCAGTTTGAAGTTACATTTAGAAACTAAGCATGTGTAATTATATCTCATTGAAAATTAGTAAATGAGAGAAAACTTGGTTCTCTTAGTAAAACATTCTCTCCTCTTTATACATCAGTACACTGAAGACATTCAAACTAAATTGCCATCCATGTCTGAGGAACTTAAAGATAAAATAGATGACCTCTCCCAAAAAATAAAGGACCAGAAACTTGCTGAGAAGGTTTCCCAGGCCGAGAGCCATGCAGCTCAATTGAACGACTCATCTGCTATCCTTGACAGGTATGTCTCTTGGGGCTGGAAATATCTATGTAATTTGACACTCGTCCAAATTTTAACTAAAAAAATAGTAAAAAATTGCTTTCAAATCTTGATTTCTATAATTATGTATATACAGGCTGCATGGCCCTTCTGTGGGAGAGCATAATTAGGAGGGTCTGAGCAAAGCTCAATCAGAACATCATGAAAAGTCTGAACTAAAAGGGGATTCAAATACGGCTTGCTGGGGAATGAACACAGCCCTTGGCAATACTTTAAAAAAAAAGTTTTCTGCTTTTTATTAGAGAGCACAGTTGTTGTTTTAATTAGCATTTTAAATAACAATATATAAACGCAGTAGGTTTCAACTTTCAGTTTTATTTTTTTGTGGAATCAAAACTTATTTATTGTTTGTAAAAAGGTGACTTTTGAAAATATTACTTCCTCTATAACCCTTTTTTAATCACTTTTTTCATTTGAATTCCAGGGTGACAACACAGTCCCTAGTGAAATAGCAACTCAGTATAGTTGGGGATCAGATATGGGTCAGAGAAAAAAGGGAAAATGACAGGGAGTCTGAATTATAAGCATTCCCTCTAGAAATAATGGGCATGCTTTTCTATAATTTTTGATTGTCATAACAATTATAGGTTCTATTAGACCCAAGAATAAAGTTTTCAAATAAATATGTTTACAATAAGCAACATGCATAAGGTTCTGTTCCAGTACTTAATATTTATTCACACTAAGAAAAATATTAATGTTTGAAGACCCTGGGCACACAATTCATTCCTAATTTATTCTTTAACAAACTTTTGACAATTTACCCAAAAGCGTGGTAGATGGAGCAACAAGTGCAAAATCAGAGGATACAGACTTCCATTCCTTCATTAGTGAGCATTGGACATGTGACCTCAGACAAGCTTTCAACCTTCAGAGATTCATTCATCCTTAATTGAGAACTGTGCTTGCCTTAGAAAGATTTTGTGAAATTCATTGCAACAATGTGGTACAAGTGTTGTGTTACCTTAGCATGTTTAATAAGTGGCATAAATAAATTATCTTACTGTTTACACATGCATTCTACACATGGTTGCAGAAGCTTTTGGAAGATGTGATGGGCATTTAAAATTGTTAATAGTATTTTATAGCTGAATTATGCAGGATTATAAACTTAAATTCCAATGTACAAAATAATTCAAGTACATCAATAATATAGTGATTTGGAATTGTAATTGTAATGACCCTGCTCATTTGGAAGCCATAGTTGTAATAAATTGAGTGTCTTATATTTGAGTAGCAGCTGCTCCAGTGTCTTTTTTTCTTTTTTGGATAATCCCAACAGAATCCTTGATGAAGCTAAAAACATCTCCTTCAATGCAACTGCAGCCTTCAATGCTTACAGCAATATTAAGAACTATATTGATGAAGCTGAGAAACTTGCCATGGAAGCCAAAGATCTTGCAAATGAAGCTACAAAACTGGTAAGAAACACTGTTAAGTGTGGATAATGGAAGGCATTATATTTGAGTACAATTACATTCAAATTTAAATCAACTCTAAAAAATCCTAGTATATAAGAATTATTTTTTAAATTATTTTTATGGCTCCTTTAAAATTGTAAACCCACAATAAATGCTTAATGTTCTATAGTCAGAGCATAACTCTTTATTGGTCACCTAGTACTTTTCAATATTAATTTGAGGCTTAAAACAATCATAATTGTACATTGTATGTTTCTACTACCAACTAACAGTAAAAATAATCATGCATAAAACTCTAAACAGATATGCATTACATTTTTTCAAATATTGTTAGAAAATAATATCATTGAACATAACGTCATTGTTTAAACTGGTTATGGGTAAAGTTTTACTATAAATGTAACTTTTAGAAATTCATCATAGCATGTGTTTTTAAGATATTTATATGCTCTTTATTTATTTTCCATTTTTTGAGTACCATGATTTACAATACTGTTAAGAATAGTTTCATGCATATAATTGTCCAGCACCACACCCACCACCAAAGTGCCCACTTCCCTCTATCAATGTCCCCAATATCCCACCCTCACTCACTTCTTTAGATCAACTCTCAGATACATTGACTTTGTCATGTTATTTGTTATCCTTATATCCGCGATATGTAAGAGATCATTCTGTATCTCTGTATCTGTCCGTCTCCTTCTGACTGGCTTTACTCAGTACAATGCCTTCTAGACTCATCCATATTGTGGTGAATTACTTGATCTTATTTTTTCATACAGTTTCTTTTTTTTTAACAGTTTCTTAATATTCTAGTGTGTATCTATATCGCAACTTCTTGACCTATCATCTGTAGTTGGACAATGATTGTTTCCATATCCTTGCTATTGTACCAATTGGTGCGCATATAACCTTTGAATTAATGTTTTTGAGTTTGGGCATAAATGCCAAGTAGTGATATTGCTGGATAATATTCTATTCTTTTTTGGAAAAAATCTCCATACTGCGTTCTGTATTGGTTGAGCCAGATGATAATCCCACCCACAGTAAATGAAACAACCTATATCTCACACCATCACAAATATTAACTGAAAGTGGATTAAAGATTTCAAGATTAGGCCAGAATCCATTAAATAATGAATATATTGAATAAAACATAGGCAGAACTCTCCAGGAAATAGACCTCAGGAATGTATTTAACTATCTGATCAGAAGCAGAGAGATCAAAAGTAAAAAGTATTAAATGGTTATACATCAAACTGAAAACATTTAGCATGGCAAAAGTAACTTAAGCTAAGATAAAACTACTGAATGGGAGAAAATATTTACACACATAGATCAAATAAAAGGCTAATGTCTAAGATTTATAAAGAACTCACAAATTTCACCAATAAAAATATCAATAACCCCATACAAAAATGTGTATATAATATGAACACTTTCCCCAAAAATACATAGGAATTGCTATTAGGTCATATGAAAAAAGTACTTATATCCCTTATTTTTAGGGAAGTTCAAATCAATATCTCAGTATCATTTCAACAATGCAATATCATCTAATACCATTGTCAATATATATCAAAAAGACTGTGACCTATTCATATACTTTTTAATTTATTGAAAACTTGGTCATTCTGATTAACATCTTTGATGTCTATTTACAATATTTCAGATCAAGAAAAATATCACAAGTGATCGCTATAATCTGTATAAATTAATATCTTAGTCATAAAATGGTAACTTTATTCAAATTTAACACTGTTAAGTGATATAAATAGGCTCAAAGTCTGTGAACATTTTAAAAACAAATTCACAAATTCATATCTAAAAAACTACCTTTTTCCTACATATTTATAAACTCACATTAATAATGAATCTGAAACAAAAATGAGTTAGAAAAAAGGTGCTCTCTTATTTAAATTAAATGACAACACCAGGAGCCAGAGAAATAGTATGTGCCTTGCACAAGGCTGAATGATCTGAAACTATATGTGATAACTTGAGCACAGCCAGAAATGGTACCTGAGAACATAGCAAGGAGTAATCCCTGATCACTGCTGATGTGGCTAAAAAAAAAGAATCAAAATAAATAAATATCAAGTGGTAGCAAGTTATATACAATTAATTTTGCAGAAGAATATTCCCATGTCAGGGTAACAGTGACTTGTTTGATATAATTACTTAAAATATTGTGATAAAATTTTATTTTAGGAACAACAGTTAAAGGAGTATAATGTAAAATAAATTCCAAATTCTGGCTCGTTACAGCCATAAAATATAATCGTATGGTTCCACCTCTTTTGAAATATTTTTCCTTTACTTCCTTTATTTATATTCTTTAAAGTAGAATTTGTAGACAGTCCTCACTTTCACTAAGTAGATTACATTTAAAAAATCACACTTTTACTTCCATTAACACCTGAAGATTTACTCTTTCTTCTGTCTCTTCTTCACGCTTCCGTGCCTTTCATATGGAATTCTCACTTTCTTTCTCTCTCTCATTCTCTCTCGTTCCTCTCTCTCTACCTGTCTCTCTCTGTCTCTCTCTACAAACACACACACACACAAACACACGCAAACACCCACAGACACATACATCACACACCTGTACACACACGTCTAGGTAAATGTAGTCAACATTGCACTTTTTATTATTATTATTTTAATTGCCATGAGACACACAGTTACAAGGCTGTTCGTGATCTGTTTCAGGCATACAGTGTTCCAGCATCCATCCCAACACCAGTATATATTTCCCACTACCAATGTTCCCCTTTTCCCTTCTGCACTGGCCCCCGCCCCACCTAGCCTGTGTCTGTGGCAGGCACTTTCCTTCTCTCTCTCTCTCTCTCTCTCTCTCTCTCTCTCTCTCTCTCTCTCTCTCTCTCTCTCTCTCCCACCACCCTTCTCAACTTTTGGACATTATGGCTTGCAATATAGATACTGAGAGGTTATCATGTTTGTTCCTTTACCTACTTTCAGCACATAGTTCTTATCTAGAGTGATCATTTCCAGCTACCTTTGTCATGGTGGTCCCTTCTCTAGTCCACCTACTTTTTTCCCAAGCAGTTGAGGCAAACTTACAAACTGTGGACCAGTCCTCCTGGCCCTTGTTTCTAATGTCCTTAGGTATTAGTCTCATATATGTTTTTAACATCACATAAATGAGTGAAATTATACTATGTCTGTCCCTCTCCTTCCTATTAATTTCACTCAGCATGATATTCTCCATGTACATCAATTTATTTTCAAATTTCATGACTACATTATTCCTAACAGCTGCATAGAGTTTCATTGTATAGGTGTATCATAGTTTCCTTAAGCAATTGTCTGTTCTCAGGTAACAACACTGTGTCTTAATATCCCTTTTCTCAATCTGCTTAATATTATTTGTATTAACTAAAAAAGGAAAATTAAAATTGACAAAACTTTTTTGGGGGGAGGTATGGCATAATACTCGTAATGCTTCAGGTTTACTCATGACTTAGTGCTCAAGAATCATTCTTAATGGAGCTTGGAGAACTATATTAGTTTCAGGGATTGTACTCAGGTTGGCTTCATGCACAGCAAGCTTCCTAACCTCTGTACTATCTTTCAGACCCCAAATTGTGAAGATTTATAGTAAACTCAACTCCAGAACAAAATGTGATCTTCCTATTTATTCTTCAGCTTTAATTACTATTACATGCTACAATTAGCAATCATTCCTAGAGTCATGTTAAAAATTATTAGCATATTATTGCCCAAGCATCTTTAAAAAATAATATAGAAGAAATAGAAAATAGAAGAAATATAGGGCAGTTTTTAAGTAACACATTTTCCCATAGACAGCATAATAGCAAAGTAGTTAGTAAAGAACAGTGCTGTGTCAGCAAAATATAAACTTTAAATAAACTAAAAAAGAGTTGTAGGAAAATTATATTAAAGAGGAGCAAAACATTCTTAAGAGTAAGTTTAAAAACCTTAGACCCTAGATCATAATTACTTAAATTTATCTTTTGAATGACTTCCCAGGGTTTATTCCTTAAGAAGAGAAAAGTTTAAAAAAATTATTGAAACTAGAAAATGAGGTTTATTTTGATTTGGCTAAAGACAGTTATAAAGAATAAATTGGATTTTGTAAATCTTCTGTTATGTGGGTTTAAAAGCCCCAATAGAAGAAAGGGTACTAAAATAGAAAGCCAGAATCTCTTTTTTGTTGTTGTTGTTTTTGTTTTTGGGTCACACCTGGCAATGCACAGGGGTTACTCCTGGCTCTGCACTCAGGAGTTACTCCGGGCGGTGCTCAGGGGACCATATGGGATGCTGGGAATCGAACCCGGGTTGGCCACGTGCAAGGCAAACACCCTACCCGCTGTGCTATTTCTCCAGCCCCAGGCCAGAATCTCTTGATGTGCATGGTAACCTTGATTAATTCAGATTCGTACTGATGTTATCAATTATAGACACACTAGATAACTTGTAATTTCCCAACTATAGTGAATATTTTACGAAAAAATAAATCTAAATATGTTATAATAAAAACATCAAAACAGATGACATATCTTAGAACTTCTATCTTGGTGACACAATGAATTTTGAGCATAAATGCAAATTAGAAAGACCAGGGAATGGGATTTTCAGGTCTAGGGTTACAATATTTTACTCTAAAATTTTGTTTGAGTAGTTTTTTAAAAATTTTCTTTTGTAACAATATAAAAGATTCTTTTCTTGTAGGGATAAAAAAGATGACATTATAGGACAATTGTACCCCTAAACAGACATTTATGCCATCCAGCCCAGGAATGTTTTAAGGAATTTTTTTTATTTCTTTGTTCCTCTACTTTAAAAAAGTGTCAAAAAAGATGCCTGAGATTACTTGCATATAGATTCAAGTTTAAATTTATACTGTCCATATGGTATAAAACTTTCCAAGCTGAAAAGTTAATTGGGCAGGAGGAAAATAAGAAGTAGTTTTGGCTATTGAAACTCCCTATACCATCTAGAAGAAGGATACAGAA